CATTCAAACTTCGGGGTCATTATCTCGTTCAAGTTTCGGGTTCATTATCTCATTCAAGCTTCGGGTTCATTACCTCGTTCAAGCTTCGGGTTCATCATTCAGTGTCTGTGAGTTAACCTTTATCTAGTCGTTTACCAACACATGTGATATATTTTATGGAAATTATCCTAACTAATTGACAGTCAGGCCAGTCTGATTTTCATTAATTAACTCCACATTAATTGGGGTCCTGAAACTTGTCGTTGGTAGAGTGTAATATTGTTGTGAAATTTATGACTGTGAATGTACTGAATGTGTAGAAATGATATACTGTGTATGTGTGTGTGTGTGTGTGTGTGTGTGTGTGTAATAATAATAATAATAATAATAATAATAATATTAATAATAATAATAATAATAATAATAACAATAATAATAATAATAATAATGAACGGTTTATTAATAGAGTTGCAGCCGGTGGCTGAAAACAGTGCGTTAATGTTCGAAATAAGGCAAACAGAGTATTGGGTTTTATATCTAGAAGTGTAAGTAACAAGAGTGCAGAGGTCTTATTGCAACTATATCTTGCGCTAGTCAGGCCGCACCTCGATTATGCGGTTCAGTTCTGGTGCCCCTATTATAGAATGGATATCAATTCACTAGAGTCGGTGCAGCGAAGAATGACAAAAATGATTCCGGGACTTAGAAACCTTCCATATCAGGATAGGTTAAAGAAACTTAACTTGCATTCCATAGAAAGACGAAGAGTGCGGGGAGATATGATAGAAGTATTTAAGTGGGTGAAAGGAATCAATAAAGGGGATATAGATAAAGTTCTTATAATATCCGAGCAGGATAGGACTCGGAGCAACGGATTCAAGTTGGATAAGTTTAGGTTTTGGAGGGAGATAGGAAGAAACTGGTTCACAAATAGGGTGGTGGACGAGTGGAACAAGCTTAGCAACTTTGTAGTAAGTGCGGGAACTCTGGAAAGTTTCAAAAGGAGGCTAGATAGATTCATGGACGATAGAGAGTGGTAGTAACTCTCGACAGGAGCTGCCATGCACAGGCCAACCGGCCTATTGCAGACTCCTTATTTTCTTATGTTCTTATGAAAATTTACAGACTTAAATTTGATTTAGACATAATGATATAATATGCATTGAATATATTTAAAGGGCTGTGTGTGTGTGTGTGTGTGTGTGTGTGTGTGTGTGTGTGTGTGTGTGTGTGTGTGTGTGCCGTTCAACCCCGTATATTTGTAAAGCGTTTGTTTTTCAATGTATAAAGCAACTATCTAATTGATATGTTTGTTACATGGTCACGTTACCTGATTTAAGACAGGCGCTGTTGTGAGTAGAAATAAAAATGGCATTTTTTATAAACAATAGTTTTGCATATTGTTATTTTCTTTATATACAAATACAGGAAGGAACATTTATCCTCTAAAGTTGAGTGTTGCTGCTTTGAGGTGCGTATAATACTGTACATTCCAGTATTTGTAACTTGTATAACCAAATCAAATAAAGAGAAGATATCTACCATGAACAAAAAACATTTCCCTGGCCAGCAACATCCTAATCGAGTCTTGAGCACCTGAGGGTGTTGGTCCTTTCCTCCCGGTGTACAGGAACTGTCGCTGTTTATCTCCATGTGTGTGTGTTCCTTGTGTCCTCACTCTTGTACCCACGGTTAAATAATCATCCTTGAAGGGTTAAGCCATCGTACTCAAAGGATTAAATCATTGTCCTTAAAGGGGTAGGTCATCGTCTTCAAAGGTAACCATTATCGTCAAGGTTAAGTTAGGTTCGTGTCATTTATTTTTCATGTGACTTTTTCCCTACATTTGCAAGTCAGTATTGCAGGAGTACGACTTTACCTGGGCTGTTGATCACTCAACCAAGGAATCACTTCCTTAGACTCTTTTGATCAAGAGTATCACCGTGTTATTGTACCATTATGCATACTACAGTACAAACGGAGCATCACTCACCCTCTATACATATCGCCAAACTCTTCCCTCCACCAGACTCTTGAGCCTAATGATGTGCGGAAAGTTGGCATCTTGAAGGCTGGTCAGGCCTCTCCGACCTTAATAACACATTCCTTCGGGAGTTTCTCAATTCCTAAAAGATTCCTGAAGGCGTTCAAGAAAAAGTTTTTTTCTTTTTAATCTTTGTAAGTAAATGTGTGACTTTCCTCTTCACTTACTTCCAGTAACTTATGCACAACTCCTTTTATTTTATTTTCCAATACTTTTTGCAAATTCAAACTTTAACTTATAGCAAATATTTGTAATGTAATATTCATAAACAAACACTGAACACCGTAGTATAAGAAATATCTAGATCTTCTGGAATATTAACTCTTCGGTGAGTATATGTGGCAGTGGCTGCACTTGGCGCGTGTCCAGTGACGTCGCTTACTGACTCCCTGTACACCTCCACTCTCAGACATCGCCACGCAAACACTGAATCCCTTTTCTCTCGTCTCCAGTGACCATTCTTGTCCCGCCAACCCATGTAGTTGCCAGAAGTTGCTAACTCTTTCTAGGTCATAATTTACGGAGTAACTATAAGACCATTTCAGATATCTATAACGCAATACATTCCCGTATTAACAAGAATAAATAAACAATCGTTGACATTCATAGTAACGTCGTAATGTTAGCATATCGAAAATGATGATGATGATGAATGTCGGTGTTTCCCCTCTTATACGAAACTGTCAGCCAATCACATCGTGACTAAAGGAAGGCGAGCTGCTCTCACTGGTGGGTTAGGCTGCTGGCTCACCTGTCTGCTAGGTTTAAAGCTGAACTTTATCTTGAAGCGCGTAATTCAATGCAAAAATATTACCGGTACATTACCTTACTTCTACTGCGGTTAAAGAAGATAATAATGATATAAGCAAGAAGAAATTTTTTGAGTTACTACTGAGTGTTGTTGGTGGGTTGTACTGTGTTGGTAGGTTGTACTGAATGTTGTTGGTGGGTCGTACTGTGTGTTGGTGGGTCATACTGAATGTTGTAGGTGGGTCGTACCGAGTGTTGTTGGTAGGTCGTACTGAGTGTTCTTGGTGGGTCGTACTGTGTGTTGGTGGGTCGTATTGAATGTTTTCGGTGGGTCGTACTGAGTGTTGTTGGTGGGTCGTACTAAGGTGTTGTTGGTGGGTCGTACTGAGTGTTGTTGGTGGGTCGTACTGAGTGTTGTTGGTGGGTCGTACTGAATGTTGTCGGTGGGTCGTACTGAGTGTTGTTGGTGGGTCGTACTGAGTGTTGTTGGTGGGTCGAGTGTTGTTGGTGGGTCGTACTGAGTGTTGTTGGTGGGTCGTACTGAGTGTTGTTGGTGGGTCGTACTGAATGTTGTCGGTGGGTCGTACTGAGTGTTGTTGGTGGGTCGTACTGAATGTTGTTGGTGGATCGTACTGTGTACTGGTGGATCGTACTAAGGTGTTGTTGGTGGGTCGCACTGAGTGTTGTTGGTTTGTCGTACTGGGTGTTGTTGGTGGGTCGTACTGAATGTTGTTGGTGGGTCGTACTGAGTGTTGTTGGTGGGTCGCACTGAGTGTTGTTGGTTTGTCGTACTGGGTGTTGTTGGTGGGTCGTACTGAATGTTGTTGGTGGGTCGTACTGAGTGTTGTTGGTGGGTCGTACTGTGTGTTGTTGGTGGATCGTACTGTGTGTTGGTGAGTCGTACTGTGTGTTGGTGAGTCGTACTGAGTGTTGTTAGTGGGTCGTACTGAGTATTGTTGATGGATCGTACTGAGTGTTGTTGGTAGGCATACTGTGTGTTGTTTTTTTTTTAGTGTTGTTGGTGGGTCGTACTGTGTGTGCTATAGCTGGTTAATTATAGGTTCTGTCGAAGTTAACCAGGCTGGTACATATATATTATATTGGGTTAGAGTAGCTAAACCCAATTGTCTGTTTTCTCCTTTATTGAAGAACTATCATTTATACAATTCCTAAGTGTATATCAACCGTAACTCCCACTATTTATGAGTGTGAAGAGAAAGGACGGCGGCTATGTAAATAGACCGTTTAATCACGTCCTTTTGATTTGAGATTATGAGTGGGATTTCTATGAGTAGTAACCCATCGAGGGAGAACGGAATAGGCACGTCGTCCTCCCTCGAGGGAAGAAGGAACCATCCACGATGGCTCTCAAATAACGTCTTCCTCTAGTCAAGTATATCAAACTCCTGCCTGCTTTAGGTGGCCAGGGAGCCGGCTACTTAATGCCTTAACGCAGCATAATATGACGCAGCTTCCAATGGACACACCTTATCACGTGCACTGAACATGTCACCTCATAGCTAGTGGAAAGTTACAGGGGCTGAATCAGTATATAAATCAAATGTAATTAACCCATTTATTTAATTCTTCTGTTTATGAAACAGGGGCCATTACATCGCTCCGTCACCTACCATCCGAGCTTCGCGAGGACTAACTAAACTCGCCGATAAACATCCTTTACATAAGCTTAACAATGTTACAAACATATGTGTAAACACTAAGCTGGGGACTCTGAAACCATAGGTTCATCAACTACTGGGGTCCTAGACTTAAGTGTCTTACGGGCTAGTATCTCATGTACAATGGCAAAATTGGATGATTCTGACTTAAAATACAAACATTACTGCCAATATCAACACAATAGTGGAATCGTTAACTTGGATAAGCAAATCACGGAATGACATGGCAGAAATAATCTTCGTCTACTTCGTGTTTAAGAACGCACCTTCTTAGCAATGTACAACTTTTGCTACTGTCACGCTAGATGAATGAGTGTGTGGTGCATAAGACTCTTTCTACGAAACATTCATGTTTGCGGAGAGCAATGGTACTGAGTTGTGAAGGGTTCTACACGGCATGGCTGAAAATTTACAGCCTGTGATACTTTACTGTAGACCTATCATATTTTTAGTTTGAGAAGATGTATCTATGACATCATTAAAATATGCAGTTGAAAATTATGAACATTATTATCCTCCCTGGGATCAAAAGAAAATGTCCACATTTTCTATGTCTAAGGTTTAAAAAATTGCTTAGATACAAACCAAAGAAATAACCTTGTCCATCCATTTACAGGAAATTTATAAAAACTTATAGGACAGAAAACATAAAAAGATTTAATTGTAAAGTTATTTTGCAGTAAGGTTAAATACAGTATAATACAGTAGAAAAGAAATGTATATTAATGCAGCAATATGGACTAATTTAAGTAATCTGTATCAAAAGTAGAAGAGCTGAAGACAGAAAGTAAGTGCCAGACCAGTGAGTGAACATCAGGTCGGTGCTGTACCTGAGACACAGGAAGGAGGTGCTTGCCGGAGCTAGTGGTGGAGATGAGGACTCTGGGACAGCGAGAGAGGCGGGCGTCTAGGAACATAACTGAGCCGTCAGTAAGGCCGCCCACTAGTACACTCGCTCGCTGCAGGAGAGGACTGTCATCAATATCCTTCTTGCAGTAACATTTAAAGACATTCACTATTTCTTTAGATTAGATTCAATGGATGTTATACACTGACTGTACCCACGGACTACCATTACTCCATGTTACACCTTTGTCTTCACTAAAAGACCTGATAGTTGGGACATATTGAGAGGTAAAAGAAGTTTTACTACTTTAGGTTGATTTAATTTTATTCAACAAACGGTGTACATCTCCTAAGCCTTTCTGTTTCACTACTGGTCCCTATTATTATAACATTCTCTACATGACAATTAAAAGTTATCTCGTTAAAAGTTGTTAAGAAAGGTAACACTGACCGTGGGGTGAAGGTGCACAGAGGTGAGGGCTGTGGGTGTGTGTAGGAGACGCTCGGGGGCGCCAGGGTTCTTGAGGGTATATAGACACACCAGCCCTCCCGTCTCGGTCCCTCCCTCGCCCCCTGAAACACCAGGGAACCATAGAATAAGGTGGACCAGCACCAACTCACCAGCCTTCACTTACCCTGTCTCTCTCCATCCACTACTCTCCTCCCACTTCTGTTCTATGCACATTCTTCCTTTCTCACCTCTTCCATACCACACACATTTCAAATTTCTCAGGACTCACCGTTTGTATAGGCGGCAGCAAACAGATCCGAGTGGGTGGTGCTCCAACACACGTCTGCCACAATGAAGGCTCGAGCCTTGGGGTAGTTGAATCTCCACAGTGGCAGCAGCGTACCCTCAACCCCTCGGTAATCATCACTACTGTCATCCCAGTACTGGAAGTCTGGTGAAGGTGAAGGGAGAGAGGAATCTCACAAACGGGGGTAATACTGATCCATCTGACAACAGTTAGGCTATCGACTTTAACTCATCCTGGAAGTCTTGCCTTAAGTAGAGCAAAATGTATAAGTTGCTTCATTTTATACAGTCAGATGTTTATATTAGTTATTGATCTGAGGATTCTAATGTTTGTGACGAAGCTGAATACAGGGTAAGAGTAATTAATTTTTAAAAAAAAATTTCTCCCAGAAATATATTGAGGTTATAAGAGAGTTAAAATTTTGTATACTTTCGTCTTGTGTCTGAGTCAGTTGTTTCATTAGTGAAGAGGAGAGGCAGCATTAAACTTGTTTATCCTGGTAACAATATAAACAGTGGCTTCTCTATCACCAAAAGGTTACCTTCCATAACATCGTCGAAGAGTTTAGTTTAACAAATTTATTGGCAGAGCTTGTAGTACAGTTTGCCTATTCTGAGTAATTCAGTCAGGTCTTGACACTGAGGGTGGTATCACTTCTCACTGTCACGCAGGACAGAGGTTCACACACAAAGAAATACATCATATTCATTAACAACTATAAATGTATATAGGTCAGGTTCATATGGATAATGTCACTGTTCACTGCCATGCAGGACAGAGGTTCGTACACAAAGAGTTGCATCATATTCATTGACAGTACATATACATATATGTAAACACACACACACACACACACACACATATACATACATATACGTATATACATACACATATATATGTACACGTACATATACATGCACACACGCACACATACATACATATACGTCGGTCAGATTCATGTGGGTAATGTCACTTTTCACTGCCATACAGGACAGAGGTTCGTACACAAAGAATGCATCATATTCATTGACACTATATATAGGTCAGATTTATGTGGGTAATGGCACTGTTCACTGCCACGCAGGACAGAGGTTCGTACACAAAGAAGGAAATACATCACATTCACCAGCAGCATATATAGGTCAGTGGATCACATACATTGGAGTCATATTCTAATTGAAGACTAATCAGTGTGGGCTAGCAAATTTGGGATAAACAGCAAGAATGTCCTCAAGCACACCTGATTCAATGAAGTAATTACATAGTTCAAGATACAGTAAGTCAGGTGGCCTGAAGTCTTTGACAGTGTCACATTCAATAATATAGTGTTCAAGTGTATGCTTTAAAGGTTTATCACAAAGTTTACATGCTGAGTGTTCCGGTATGGGTACATCGTTACTAACTTGCCAGATGTGTCTGTATCCTAGCCTAATTCTGGCCATTCTGGTTGATCATCCTCTCTACTGTAGTGACGGTGGGCATGAGAGCGGCCAGGTCGCACCCTCCCTTACCTTTCGTGGTCACCTGAGTCAATGGTGTGGGGTAAGGAGCCGACCTCTCTAAACCAGGCTGGTGCTGTAATACACACCATATGTGACGTTATATATTAATGGTCGCTTTTTAACACCCTACCAGTCACCCATTACACCCTCGTCATCCATTACTATCCGTCAACTGTAATACGTATAAGACTCACCTGTTTGCCATCCTTACTGTCCTTATTTTTTCCCTCCTGGTTGTTCTTGTTGGCAGGGAGCAGCGTGTGGTGGTGGTAGGCGTCAAAGATGATAGAGAACCCGACAATAGCGCTGAAAGTGGTGCTGGGTGGCGGCTCTGTCTGTATACACATCAAAAAAAAAAAAAAAAAAATTTCTCTAAAGTATAAAAAATATTTTTATATAAAAAAAATTATATAAAAAATAAAAAATAAATTTATATAAAAAAATTTTTTTATATAAAAAAACAAATTTTATATAAAAAAAATATTTTTATATAAAAAATACAAAAAATTTCTATATAAAAAAAATTTATATAATTTATATTTATATAAAAAAATATATATATATATAAAAAATTTTTATATAAAAACAAAAAATTTATATATATATATAAAAAAAAATTTTATATATAAAAAAATAAATTTTATATAAAAAAAAATTATATAAAAAAAATTTTTATAAAAAAAATTTTGATATAAAAAAATATATAAAAAAAAATTTTATATAAAAAAATTATATAAAAAAAAATATTTTTATATAAAAAACATTTATATAAATAAAAAAATTTATATATAAAAAAATTATTTAAAAAAATAAAAAAATATTTTTTTATAAAGAAAAAATTAAATTCAAAAAATTATAAAAAAATATTTTTATATAAAAAAATTATATAAAAAATATATTTTTATATATAAAAAAAAAATTTATATAAAAAAATAAAAAAAATAAAATTTTATATAAAAAAAAATTTAAATAAAAAAAATTTATATAAAAAAAATATTTTTATAGAAAAAAATAAAAAAATTTTATATAAAAAATTTATATATATGTAAAAAATATTTTTTATAAAAAAAAATTAAAATTTATATAAAAAAAAATTTATATAAAAAAATATATATATATATATATATATATATATATATATATATATATATATATATATATATATATATATATATATATATATATATATATATTTTTATATAAAAACATTTATATAAAAAAAATTTATCAAAAATTAATATTTTATATAAAATTATATAAAAAAATTTTATATAAAAAAAATTTTTTTATAAAAAAACAAAAAATTTATAAAAAAATTTTAATATAAAAAATTATATATATAAAAAAAATTTTTATATAAAAAATTATAAAAAAATTATATGAAAAAAAATTTATAAAAAAAAATTTTTATATAAAAACCTTAGTGATGGTCAGTTCAAAACTGATAATATGTTACATAAATTTATTTGTCAGTGGCCCAAGGTTAAAATGCTTTGAAAACCTTTGATCTTGATGTATGATAGTTATTTTGTGGGTCCTTTTGACCTGACCTGTCTAGTCACGTCATCACCCTTCTCTTAAGCCCTCTTCGTGTGTGTTGGTGTAGGGGATTAGTGGATGTCATCATTATGACCTGACCTCATGTTTTTAGGTCACCCTGTATATTTAAGCCTCTCTGTCAATGTAATCCAGTTGCCTCTGAAGATGTCTTGAATAAAGACGAAAGCTAAGGTACTCCGTTGTTTCCATTTTCCCGTGTGATTTATCAGATATATATATATATATATATATATATATATATATATATATATATATATATATATATATATATATATATATATATAAATTATATTAAAAAAGATATTTTATATTGTTACGAACCCCGCCACCAATTGTCATGATCTACCTACCCAGCACTACGAACCACGCCATCTATTTTCTTGGTCTACCGACCCAGCACGGGAAAGTTGGTTATCTACTTTCCCGAAAGTAGATGAATTTTCTACTTTTCGGGAAAGTAGATTATCCACTTCGGGGAAATTTTCGAATTTTTGGGAAAATATACCTAATTTTGCGAAGTAGATTATCATAGAAAACGAAATTTGTATCATAAAAACAGGAAATATCTACTTTCCGGAAAGTTGGTTATCTACTTTTCCCGAAAGTAGATAGATTTTCTACTTTGGGAACGTAGATTATCGACTTTTCGGAAGTAGATTTTCGAATTTTGGGGAAATATTACCTAATTTTGCTAAGAAGATTATCATAGAAACAGGAAATTTGTATCATAAAAATGGGAAATATCTACTTTCGGGAAAGTTAGTTATCCTTTCCCGAAAAGTAGATAGCTTCTACTTTCGGGAAAAGTAGATTATCGACTTTCGGGGAAGTAGATTTTCAAATTTTGGGGAAATATTACCTAATTTAGCGAAGTAGATTATCATAAAACCGGAAATTTGTATCATAAAATGGAAATATCTACTTTCGGGAAAGTTGGTTATCTACTTTCAAAAGAAGTTAGATTTTCTTTTTTCGGGAAAGTAGATTATCGACTTTTCGGGAAGTAGATTTTCGAATTTTTGGGGAAATATTACCTAATTTTGCGAAGTAGATTATCATAGAAAACGGAAATTTGTATCATAAAAACGGGAAATATCTACTTTCGGGAAAGTGTTATCTACTTTCGAAAGTAGAACATTTTCTACTTTTCGGAAAGTAGATTATCGACTTTTCGGGGAAGTAGATTTTTCAATTGGGGAAATATTACCTAATTTAGCGAAGTAGATTATCATAGAAACGGGAAATTTGTATCATAAAAATGGGAAATATCTACTTTCCGGAAAGTTGATTCTACTTTCCCGAAAATAGATAATTCTACTTTTCGGGAAGTAGATTATCGACTTTTCGGGGAAGTAGATTTTCGAATTTTGGGGAAATGTTACCAATTTTGCGAAGTAGATTATCATAGAAAACGGAAATTTGTATCATAAAAAAAGGGAAATATCTACTTTCCGGGAAAGTTGGTTATCTACTTTCCCGAAAAGTAGATAGATTTTCTACTTTTCGGGAAAGTAGATTATCGACTTTTCAAGTAGATTTTCGAATTTTGGGAAATATTACAAATTTTGCGAAGTAGATTATCATAGAAAACGGAAATTTGTATCATAAAAATGGGAAATATCTACTTTCCGGGAAAGTTGGTTATCTACTCAGAAAAATAGATAGATATCTACTTTTCGGGAAAGTAGATTATCGACTTTTCGGGGAAGTAGATTTTCGAATTTTTGGAAATATTACCTAATTTTGCGAAGTAGATTATCATAGAAACGGAAAATTTGTATCTCAAAAACGGAAATTTGTATCATAAAAAACGAAACATCTACTTTCCCGAAAAGTAGAAAATCTATCTTCTTTTTCGGAAAGTAGATAACCTTTCCGGAAAGTGATATTTCCATTTTTTATACAAATTTCCCGTTTTCTATGATAATTATCGCAAAATTAGGTAATATTTCCCCAAAATTCGAAAATCTACTTCCCCGAAACTGACTACTTCTCAGGAAAGTAGATTATCGACTTTCAGGGAAGTAGATTTTCATTTGAAATATTACCGAATTTGCGAAGTAGATTATCATAGAAACAGGAAATTTGTATCATAAAAATGGGAAATATCTACTTTCGAGAAAGTTGATTTTCGAAAGTAGATAGATTTTCTACTTCTCAGGAAAGTAGATTATCGACTTTTCGGGAAGTAGATTTTCTAATTTTGAAATATTACCTAATTTTCCGAAGTAGATTATCATAAACGGAAATTTGTATCATAAAAATGGAAATATCTACTTTCCGGGAAAGTTGGTTATCTACTGAATTTTTCTTCAGGAAAAGTAGATTATCGACTTTTCGGGGAAGTGAATTTTCAGCAGAAATATTACCGGATTTGCAGAAGTAGATTATCATTGAAAACAGGAAATTTGTATCATAAAAAGGAAATATCACTTTCAGGAAAGTTGGTTGTATCTACTTTCCCGAAAAGTAGATAGATTTTCTATTCAGAAAGTAGATTATCGACTTTCGGGAATAATTTTCGAAATTACGAAATATTACCTAATTTTGCGAAGTAGATTATCATACAAAACAGGAAATTTGTATCATAAAAATGGGAAATATCTACTTTCCGGGAAAGTTGTTTATCTACTTCCGAAAGATTTTCTACTTCTCAGGAAAGTATATTATCGACTTTTCGAGTAGATTTTCGAAGTACAGAAATATTACTTAATTTTGCGAAGTAGATTATCTGAAAACGAAATTTGTATCCTAAAAATGAAATATCTACTTTCAGGAATGTTGGTTCTACTTGAAAAGTAGACTTTTTACTTTGGGAAAGTAGATTATCGACTTTTCGGGAAGTAGATTTTCGAATTTTGGAAATATTACCTAATTTTGCAGAGTAGATTATCGTAAAACAGGAAATTGTATCATAAAAAATGGGAAATATCTACTTTCCGGGAAAGTTGGTTATCTACTTTCCCCAGTCAATAGACCTATAAAGTAGATTATCGACTTTCGAGAAGTAGATTTTTCGAATTTTAAGGAAATATTACCTAATTTTGCGAAGTAGATTATCATAGAAAACAGGAAATTTGTATCATCAAAAAATAGGAAATATCTACTTTCCGGGAAAGTTGGTTATCTACTTTCCCGAAAAAGTAGACATGATTTTCTACTTCTCAGGAAGTAGATTATCGACTTTTCGGGAAGTAGATTTTCGAGTACTGAAATATTACAATTTTAAGTAGATTATCATAAACGGGAAATTTGTGTCATAAATGGGAAATATCTACTTACAGGGAAAGTTGGTTATCTACTTTCGAAAAATGAACAATTTTCTACTTCTCGGAAAGTAGATTATCGACTTTTCGGAAGTAGATTTTTCAGATTTTGGGAAATATTACTTAATTTTGCGAAGTAGATTATCATAGAAAACGGAAATTTGTATCATAAAAATGGGAAATATCTACTTTCCGGAAAGTTGGTTTATCTACTTTCCCGAAAAGTAGATGACTTTTCTACTTTCGGGAAAGTAGATTATGGACTTTTCTGGGAAGTAGATTTTCGAATTTGAAATATTGCGTAATTTTGCGAAGTAGATTATCATAGAAAACGGAAATGTGTATCATAAAAATGGGAATATCTACTTTCCGGGAAAGTTGGTTATCTACTCCGAAAAGTAGATAGATTTTCTACTTTTCGGAAGTATTATCGACTTTTCGAAGTAGATTTTTCAGGAGAAATATTACCTAATTTTGCGAAGTAGATAATCATAGAAAGGAAATTTGTATCATAAAAAATGGGAAATATCTACTTTCCGGGAAAGTTGGTTATTCTTTCGAAAGTAGATAGATTTTCTACTTTTTGGAAGTAGATTATCGACTTTTCGGGAAGTAGATTTTCGAATTTTAGATATTTACCTAATTTTGCGAAGTAGATTATCATAGAAAACAGGAAATTTGTATCATAGATGAATATCTACTTTCCGGAAAGTTGGTTTCTATATAATGGTGAATTTTCTACTTCTCAGAAGTAGATTATCGACTTTTCGGGGAAGTAGATTTTCGAATTTTTGGAAATATTACCGAATTTTTGCGAAGTAGATTATCATAGAAACAGGAAATTTGTGTCATAAAAATGGAAAATATCTACTTCCGAAAGTTGGTTATCTACTTTCTCGAAAAATAGATAGAATTTTCTACTTCTCGAAGTAATTATCGACTTAAAATAGATTTTCAATTTACGGAAATATTAACTAATAGTAGATTATCATAGAAAACAATTTGTGTCATAAAATAGAATATAGATTTTACTTCTCGGAAAGTAGATTATCGACTTTTCGGGAATGATTTTTCAGTACAATCCTAATACAGTAGATTATCATAAAACGGAAATTTGTATCATAAAAATGAAATATCTACTTTCCGGAAAGTTGGTTATCTACTTTCCGAAAAGTAGATAGGTTCTTTCAGGAAAGTAGATGATGAACTTTCGGGGAAGTAGATTTTCGAATTTGGGGAAATATTACGTAATTTTGCGACGTAGATTATCATAGAAATGAAATTTGTATCTAAAAATGGGAAATATCTCTGCTCCGGGAAAGTTGGTTATCTTTTCGAAAAGTGAATAGATTTTCTACTTTTCGGGAAAAGTATCGACTTT